ATTACCACTCAACTAAATTAAATGTTGGGTTTTTTAGGTTTTCTTTTTTGTGGGCATTTCTTATTTTTACTTAAGATTATCACTTAATTAAATATTAGAGTTTTTGAGTTTTTCTTACTTGTTGGCTTAGTAAAGTACATTTAAGAGTGTATTAATTGTATTTTTAATAATTAATTTTTTTTTAAAATAAAATTTAATTTATTAGATACTTAATTAAAATCATTTGTGTTATTAGTTTTGAAATTATTGTTCACTCTTGTATTTTTTTATGATAATTAATTTTTAAAAAATATAATAAATATATGAATACAATAAATATACTGGTTTGGATATTCGGATGAATTTGGGTAAAACTAAAATTATCAAAATTAATTTTATTAAGATATAATCATTAATTCATACTTGAAATTACTAATATGAGCCATCAAATTATCTAAAATTATTTAAAATATTTAATATAAATTTATTTTATTTTTTTATTTTGATTTTTGTGCTATATGAAAATTTTTTGGACAAAATTCTCTTTTCTTTTTGGAGTTAAATTTATAGATTAAAAATATAAACAAAAAGACTAGAAATGATCGAAATTAAAAAAAAAAAAAAGCTTTTAATAACAAAAGGTGAAAAATAATGGCATACTTCGGTTATTTTGGTTAATTAATCAACTTATTTGAATAATTTTAAATAACTACAATCATAACTAAATTAAAATTTTAATTCAAATTAAATAGAAAAATTTTATTCAAAATTATTTTAAATAACTAAAAGTTTAATACGTTCAAACAATCCAAACCGAATCCTCGGAAATTTCTTACCTATCGAGAATTGCTATTACGTTTTAATAAATTAAAATATTTAGTGTCATTTTTTACTTGGTTTTTAAAAATATTTTTTCCATTTCAAATGTTAAAATTAGACTAAAATAGAGTGTTTTTTTTTTTATAAGGTTTTCTTATTTTTCTAAAAGTTATTTTTAACTTTTAAAATTAAAGTCTTAAATTAATTTTCCGTTTTATGATTATTGTATATAAATTCACGATTGGACAGCCCTAGGAAAGGTCTAGTAAATAAAAATCTTACAAATATATGTATGCATATAGCTAGATTAAATTTTAAAACTAAGTAAAAAAACTCAAAAATTAGAAATCATTCTTTTGATTTAGTAGTCACCTCTCTCTCATAAAAATTTTTTTATATTAACTTTAATAGATGTGGGGTTCAAATCTCATCATAGCATTCAAATATATATATATAGAAGTGGACCGAATTGTGAAATAATATTTAGATAATTTATTTTATTATTGAGAGATTAACTTTTTAAAAGCCTTGACTTTAATTGAATAAATACTCTGAACTACCTTTTAGGGGAATAATTTCAAAGATAACAAATTTTAAAAAGGAAAATGATTTTGAGATAATTTTTTTGTATTATTTTTTTGTACAATTTAACATATTATTTAAATAATTATTTTTTTAATTTATGTGAGATATACAATATTAAATACATCTACTCATTTAATAACATATAAAAATTATATAAAAAGATAATATAAAAAAATTTATGCTTATAACACCACATTTTAAAGAAATGTCAACCAAAAATGCCCAAAAAATGATTTGATATCTCCTTTAGGAATGCATTTGATTAGCAAAATTTTGAGAGAAGAATTTACAACTTTAATCAATAACTATTATTAAGTAAGATTATAAATTCTCATAAATACAACCAAATCTTTCGCGATTCTGTTAAAAAATGATGATTACTTCAGTTGTGGTGAAAAGAATCAATTTTGTGCGCATAGTTGGCGACATTATCAAAGGCTAGAAATGGGAGATACTCAGAACATGAGCTCCGGCGTCCCCTCACCGGAGTTGAGGAAACAATAAAGCATGTGAAGGAAACACCGACGAAACTTCTGTTAATGAGGAGAAAGAAGCAATGGAAACAAATAACAAGTACATCCCAACTATTAATTTAAGATATTTATGCCAACGAACTTAAGTAACTCAATTTTCATCTCTTTCCATTAAAAGTATAAAATCTTAAATTCGAGTCATATACATGTGAAGCGAAATAATAGATAAAAGATGATCACTTCTCATTAAGCAACTAAGATAAAAAATAAAAAATTTAAAATTTTTATAAAACATAAACCATTGAATAAAAATACCAGCATTTACATTTAGAGAATTTCTATCAAATAGTTTATTTTAGGCAATCTGAATTGGACATCCCATTGATCTAAAGTGACAATTGGATACCGAAAAAGGAAAATACTGATGTGAACATGAGCCGCAAACACTGAGATGGCGTGTGATTTCATTGCACAATAACAGTGGTACTGATACAACCTTCGGATACAAAATACCATCACAATCAGAATACGGTTAAATTACAAGGTACAACACCAAATTGGCAAAAATTCCCACCAAGGCAAAATCCCCACTCCTCCCAAAATAAACATAAGAAAATAAATTCAAACTATAGCATACAACACCATAGATAGCAGTATATTATACAATTTCTCCAACTCCCTTCTGAATTCATGACTTCACATCCTTCAGCACTCCTCCCTTTTCAAGCTCGCCAACAAGATCCCTTAAAGAGGGAACCTTCATGGCCAAAGTCCTATATAACCTAGAATACCGGGCTCGGGTACCATCCGCAGTCCTAGCGAGTGCTAATAACGTTAAGGCCTCGGGGAGTTGGGAGAATACTTGTTTGATTTCCTCCAAGCTCATATTTTCTAAGACGGATGGTCTTGGAACAACCCTCATGATTTCTCCGCCCTTTGGCTCCTGAACCCGGGCATCTGCTTTGATGACTAGTTCGGAATTAGAGTTTGCTCCACACTTGATGATAAATGGGGTTGTTGAGCCAGTATTAAATTGCAAAACATTCCATTGAGCCACATCAGTTTCAGTACTGGATCCCAAATCTGCAGTTGGTTTACGAGACTGTAAAGTATCTACAATGTGATCATCTTCTTCAGGT